TAGAGTGCAAGTTCATCTAACTTGCAAGCAGTAGAGCTTGGATTTGAACTCAGGCAGCAGCGTAACTCCAGAACCCTCACTCTTCAGCATCTGTATGATCCTGGGGGGGGTGACTAAGACAGTCTTCTCTAGGTGATCGTGGAGTGGGATGTGTGCATGTGAAAGCACATATTCATGTGTGACTCCAACACCCAGTACAATGTCTGGCACATAATACATCTTATTAAATATTTGAGGAATAGGTAAGCGAATAAATGTCTACTCATCAATGAGTCTGACTTTAAAGTGCCTGTTGCACCCTAAGAGACCGTTCGCATGTGATGCATGTGGGACCCGCCTATGTGCCTGCGGTGAACATGTGTATGCATGTGCCCTCTCCCTGTCGCTCTGTGTGAGCCAGTGGCTTTGTGTGAGCCGGTGGTGGTGAAAGCTGCCTCCCTTCTCCTTGGATGGTGGCCAGTTCTCCATCCCCACTGAGGGGCAGAGAAGAGGGGCTCTCTTTATAGCTGATAGGACAGTGGGTCTGTGTGGGTAGGGCTCCCACCCCCTCAGGACTTACCTCTTTGGGGCCCAGCTGTCCCACCCTGCCTGAGCTGAGCTGGTATCTCACCCGTGTTATCTCTGTCTCCCAGGAGACCAGACCTCACAGCCCCAGGGAAAGTGCTCATCTGCCTGTTCCTGGCTCCAGACCTGGAGTGGGGGCGGGGAGTGGGGGAACAGAGGAGCCAGGCTGCAAAGGAGGGGCTGGTGATGGCACCAGGGTGCAGGAGGGCACCATTCACAGAATTTGCATCTTCAGTCACCAAAGCCCTGGCTGATTTCCCAGTGAAATGAGGGGTAAGGGGTGGAGTAGGACAGCTTGGGGAAAGGTCATGGGCCACCAGGCACCTCCTGCCCGGCCGCACTAATAAGTCAGGCCTTTCATGGGATAGGGCTCTACATGAGGGAGACGTCACTTCTCTGGGGATACTCAGGACCTTTACCTGGGATTGGGACCTGGATGAGAGCCTAGGATTGGGTTTGAGGTTTTATCAGATTTACATGTCCCCATATGAGATGGGGGTCTGAATGGGATCTATAGGAAACAGGACTGGGTCTCAGGGTTTCTCTGTGGGATCTTAAGGTGCCTTATGGGATGGACATTTTGGTAGAATCATGGGAGAAGGGAAGTGGTCCTGAGGATTTCTCTGTGGAACCAAAGGTCCCTATATGAGATCAAAGACTGCATGGGGTGGGGGTGGGGTTCTTTGAGGGTGATGAGATCTCTGTGAGATCTTAAGGTCTCTTGGAAGTGTAGATCTAGGGACAGTGTTTTTTGTTTGTTTGTTTTTTGTCTACCCAGTTCCCCCCTCCACATCTTTCCAAAGGCTGAGGCTATGGATGTGGAGGAGGTAGGGGTGAGGGTGCTGAGCTGGCAAACAAAGCCACCTGTGCATCCATCCTTCAGGAAGCTCAGAGTGCAACTGATCTAGGAAAACAAACAGGACCAGCTGCTGGGGGGTGGGAGAGGGTTAGGAGGAGGTTGGGTGAAGGGAGGCAGTGGGGCTGGAGCTGGACCAGCCTGGTGGAGAAACTAAGCTGGGGGTAGGTCCATAGTACAGTAAAAGGACAGAAGCCCAGAGTCCCATTCTGGCATACCAGGCGTCCCCCCACCCCTGACAGCCTCTTCCTTGTCCCTTCCTCTCAGTGGCCCATTCTTCCCTTTCTGGTGACTTTGAGGCCCAGAACCAGGGAGGGATCTGGGGGGATGGGGGAGAGCCTGAGAGAAGTCTAGAGGTCTTCTGGGGAAGTGGCTCTTGGGATTGCTGGGGCACCCATTTCTGAAAGATCTGGTGCAGACAGCTAGAACTAAAAGCCATGAACTGCAGGGTGGGGGTGGTGGGACCTACACACCATTTTCCTGATGAGGGAACAGATACAGGGGAGGGGAGTGGCTGGCTAGGGCCACACAGCTGCATAGTGCAGAGCCAAGATCAGATCTTAGGAGCACTGGCCCTTCTAACACATTGGGTCTCCACTCCAAATCCCAGCCCGACTCCTAATTCTAACTTGGATCTCAGCTGTACCTCCCACCACTTCCCCCCAAGCTTTTGAAAACTAACTCTCTCTCTCTCTCTCTCTCTCTCTCTCTTCCCCGCATCCCCCTCCCCCGCCCGCCCCTGCGGAACACAGTCTTCTGACCAACACCTGGACTTGAAACGGCCCTTCCAGGTGGAGCCCCGACCTCAGGATCATGCCAAACCCATGCCTGAGCTCCCTCAAACACATCGTCCAGCCTCTGACAGGCACTCCGCTGCCTCGGGACTAACGCCCGGGGCCCGCGTCACGGACCAGCGCAGACGCACAGCCTGACGCACTCGCCACCCGAGCTCGCCGCCCCTCCTGACCTCAGCCTCTCATCAACTCCGGTTTCCACCCGCCACACCGCGCCATCTTTCTACCCAGCGCGGCCCGCCCGCGCCTCCTGGTGGCCGAACCCAGAATTGCCCGACAGAGATGGGGAAGGGCGTGAAGAAAAGATTGGGTTCCTCACCTCTTACCGCTGCCATAGCCCCGACTTGAGAAACCAAGGCCAAGGGCCGGGACACAAAGAGTCCAGGACCGGCTCTTGCCTCCCTCGATAGTTTGTATTTCCCCCTGACGGTGTGGGGGAAATTACAGTTTATTTGTGTCTCTCCATACCTCCTCTAGGATAGGGAGTCAGGGGACTGGGTATGGTTCTAACGCATTCTCAAACCTGGTTGTGGTCGTCCCTGCCCTGATTCAAATTCTCCTAACTTGGACTTTACTCCCCATGTTCTAGGGCCCTGTATTCTTGCATTCACCTTCACATACATTGCGATCCTCAAGAGCAATTCCTCACCAGCAAAAAGAGCCAAGGGAGACTCTGGCTGCCCATCCCCCTCCACCTGTTCTGGGCACCCCAGAACTTCAGAGGTGGGCAGGTTAGTAGGATGGGCAAACCATTACCCCTGCACGCTCATTGTAGAATTTCCTATATAGCCCTTCCCCTATGGACATTTGACCCAACCTGACCACCTTGTTCGCTCACTTATTCAAGTCTTATTGAGCACCTGCTATGTGTCCACCACTGTGCTAGGTCTGAGAATAACGAGACTGACACAGCTCCGCCCCTTTAATGGAGCTTACATCTAGTATAAAAGGAAACACTCAGCACACCATAAACATAAGACGGAAAAGATAAGTTTATAGAGTGATAAACACTAGAAAGAAAACAGGGTGATGTGATAGACAGTGAAGGCAGGAACAGGGTCACCCAGGAAGTAACAAAGGCCAGCCACGCCAAGATCTTGTAATTAAGAGGCTCCAGGTAATGAGAACATCAAATGGGAATGCTCAGAGGTAGGAATGAACTTCGCAGTGGGAGAAAGAATTGAAGGCCAGCAAGGCTAGACTTCTGGGAGCGGGGGTGCCTGATCGGGCCTGTGAGCCTTTTTAGTCACAGGAGTTCAGGTGGCAAGAGCACTGGCTTTGGAATGAAAAGGTCTAAATTTTAATCTTGCTCTGACACTGACTACCAATGTGAATTTGGATAAGACCCTGTACCTCCTCGAGCCTCAGTTTCCACGTCTGTGTACCCAAACTTACCTCACTGGACTGTTGTCGGGTCTATGAGGAAAGCACTTGGCTCACGGGAACAACAAAATATTAGTTCCCTTTCATTCACCCCTCGACTTCAGCTGGAATACTTACCTCTTCCATGAAGGAAAATTCACAATATTGCCAGAAGCCTTTGTGTCTCATTGACAGTCGTGTAGTTAGGAAATTCTGCTGCAAATTGTGAGGAAATGTCCTCCGTGGAACCTCCCTTGGGTTCCTAAACCTTTTCTCTCCTTTCCTCCTCCCCTTCTCCAGACACTTACCCCAACCACATGGCACTGGGAGTGGGGGCAAGGGCCTAGAACCTACAGTCAAAACAGAAGCCAGGTTCAGGTTCACATCTCAGCTGGGCCACCTCTTTGATCACGTTCCGGAACCCGTCGGGGGCCGCCGCTTATTCTGTGAAATGCAGGGCAGTAACACTGCCTACCTCACTGAGTTGGGGCGAGAATTAGCTGAGATCACGCGCGCGTAAAAGCTCTGAGCATTGTGCCTGGCCTGAACTAGGCGCTCAGTGATCATCAGCTAGCTCTCAGATAGAGGTCCGGACCGGATCCCCCAGACCCCTGGACCTCTGGCTGCTGGCAGCTTCGCAGTTCCGACAGCTCTAAGGTTGAAACATTCTTCCTACCTACCCCAGCGAGCCACTTCCTTAGTTACTATTATTCCTAAACGCTTTGTAAATCCACGCCCTCCCTTGGGCAGTTCATGTTTCCCACGCTCAGCGCCGCCTTGCGGCGAATCTTGGTCATCGCCCCTTCTTGGCCCCTGCGCGCGAGAAAACTCCAGGAACGCGGTGCGGGACCTGGGAACTCAGGTTTAGAAGGAAAAGGGCTGCAATGGATCCTCCAAGGAAGAGCACTGAAGAATGTGAGAAAAGTCGCTTGAAGGAGCCTTGTCTATGTCTGCCCTAGCGTCGCCCAAAAGAGAGGCCTCGACCTAGGGCTGAAGAAGAGGTAGAATTTAGATGTTGCAAAGAACTTGCATGCCTGGAGTCCCAAACGCGCAGTTTTAGCGGGGGACGCAAAGCAGCTTGGTACCTCTATCCCTGAGGATCTGGGCCAGGGAGGGCACGCTCTGCTCCGAGGTCGGTTGCGCCTTGCCTGGCTCAGGTCCCCCCCAAAAGAAAAAGCAGAGTCAGCTTCGGTGGCAGCGGGAGCAGAACTTGTGCCTCAGCACTTTCTATTGTGATCCCCGAGGGCTGGGGCCAGATCCACGGCTTCGCGAAAAGCCTCGGCTCCCCAGGGGACACCGGGCTGACCGCAGACTGCCCGCTGACTCAGCTCTCCCCACCTCAGCGGGAGAGGGTGCGGGGAGGGAGGGGAGGCTGGGTATAAAGCCCTGCACGCCCGGTCCGCGCGCAGCCTTTCTGTTTTCCGTCAGTACCGCGCTCACCCACCCGGTGAATACTCGGTGCTGGGGCAGGGTCTTTTCTGGGCAGGGAGGGCGAGATGAGGGATAGCCACTAGCAAGCCCGGGCCCAAGCCAGCCCAGGTCCTGCCCCGGGTCCCCCATCCCCTCTCCGGGTTGGGCGGGCCTGGGCCGGGGAGAGGGCTCGCGAGACGCTGAGCACTTGGTCCCGTCCTTCTTGCCGTAGCGGCATGAGCAGCGCCCCCGCGCCGGGCCCGGCGCCCGCCTGCCTCACGCTCTGGGACGAGGAGGACTTCCAGGGCCGTCGCTGCCGGCTGCTGAGCGACTGCGCGAACATCTGCGAGCGCGGAGGCCTGCGCAGGGTGCGCTCTGTCAAGGTGGAAAACGGCGCGTGAGTGATCGCCTGGGCGCGGCTGGGCTGAGTTGGGGTCTCGGGGGGTACCCTGGCCCAAGCTCTGAGCCTGGGCCTCAGTTCTCAGCAGCCCTCCGCTTCCCAACTGTAAGCCCTGCCTGAGAGAGACCCGCCAACATGGGAAACCCCTTGGCCTCCCCCAAACTCCCCACCCGTCGCAAGACAAATCATAAGAGTGTATCCTCGTGTGACCTAAAGGAATAAAGGCAGGAAGCGGCCCTTTGCGGCGATGGGGGGCAGGCTGTGGGACCAGCTTGAATCCTGCGGGTTCCCAGCGTAGTTACGTCTTCTCCAAAGTTTTTCTTATGAAGTTAAAGGGCTCTGAGCTTTGTCTAGCAAAAGAAACCAAAATCTCCTCCGATAGCCCCAGCCTAGTCTCCTAGAGCCTGTGGCCCCTGCAATGACAGGTTTTTGCTGTCACAGGTTACCAACGCAGGTTGGGGGGTTCCTACTTTTTTGCAGGCATCTAAATCCTTGATGTAGGAGCGCTTCGTTGGGTGATCTTTGTAAGCTGGAAAATTCCATCCCATCTAGGGGCACTGGGCTGGAAGCCTGGACCCCTCAAACAGCAGCTTGTTTAGGGTCTTTAGCCTCTAGAAGGGCAGGATTGTAATGTGATGGGTATGTCAAGAAAAGGGCCTGAGGTTAGAGAATAAGATTGGTTTCTCAGTCTTTTCAATCACAGCAAGAAAGGGGGATGAGGAGAAAGGAATGCAGTTGGCGCAGATGCCTCCCAGCTTCCCTTATCTTTCCCCAGTTGGGTGGCCTATGAGTACCCCGACTTCCAGGGACAGCAATTCATTCTGGAGAAGGGTGACTATCCTCGCTGGAGCGCCTGGAGTGGCAGTGGCGGCCACCACAGTGACCAGCTGCTCTCCTTCCGGCCAGTGCTCTGTGCGGTGAGCACCCCACCCACCCCCGCCCCCTTTGCTTCCTAGTTCCAAGTCCTGGCCTCATCATGACACTTTGGAAAGGCCATCTACTCACTGCACGGGGGTGTGTAAACAACTCTTAGGTGGGTAGTAGTGGCATTAATTCCCAGAACCAGAGAGATCTCCATAAGTTTGGAATGTGGGCCTAAGCCAGGCGCCGGAAATCAGCACCACGGACAGCACCGAGATCCTGCCAGCCTTGCGCAGGCATGGGGTTCCTCACATCCAGTCGTTGGCAAGTGTGAGCAAATGCCTCTGTCATCACACATCCCTGTGAGATCTGGGCGACTGCTGCTAACCTCATACACTGCTGTGGAAATGGGCTCAGAGGGGCAAAGTGACTTGTCCCAAGTCACAAGGGTTAACATGAAGATGAGATTAGAACTCGGTCCAGGGATCAAGGCTGAAAAGGTGTCAGTCTGTGTGTGTGTGTGTTGGGAGGGTGATAGTTATAAAGTAAATACACTAAAGGGGAGCATCTTACTTCCCATTTCTGTTGACTTAGGTACCACTTAGGTAGCATACTGGTGAGGCCTGGTGCTGAGGGGTGGAAGGCAGAGAACAGGTGTTGACTCAGTCCAGCTTCTCCATTCCAGGAGGCCAAAGAGTCCTGCAGGGGGAAGGACATGGGACTATGGATACCCAGAAACAACTAACACTGAGGCCCTGTCCTGTCTGTTCTAACCCTGCCATCCGACATCCCTTAGCTGGGCCCTACCCTGTGAGAGACTGCTCAGGGTGCCGGGCAGGGGATTGGGTAGTTAATAAAGCCCTTAGAAAAACTGTTTTGGTTAGTGGACCATATTTCTCTTAAGACTTCTGATTTTCCTCCTGAAAAACAGGTCAATGTTACAGATGATTTCTAGCCCTGACCTGGAAGTGTCTCTGGGACACCCCTCCCCAGTCTCACCACCTCAACCCAAAGCCATAGAAGGGACCAGGCTAGAGATCTCTTAGCATCTCAGCTTCCTAGGATTCTGGGAAGCTAATGGAATAAACTCTGAGAGTGCTTATGGAGCCTAAGTATCTGCACAACTTGTGTTGGGCAGCAGAGTAGGAGGAGTGGGGCTGAGAATGTCTTCATTAATACCACTTTGGAGGGCCTGACCCCTATCTTCCTGTGTCTCAGAACCACAGTGACAGCCGTGTGACACTGTTTGAGGGGGACAACTTCCAGGGCTGCAAGTTTGAACTCAGTGATGACTACCCATCCCTGCCCTCCATGGGTTGGACCAGCAAGGATGTGGGTTCCCTCAAAGTCAGCTCTGGAGCGTGAGTCCTGGAACTGGAACAGGGGAGATGAGAAGAACAAGGAGGCAATGGGACCAGGGAGGAGGGTGGGGAAAGGCGATTGGAGTGCTAAGAAACATGGTAAAGAGAGGTGCTGGGGACTGGTGGACAGAGGAAAGTGAGATGGTGGAGACAGACTGGAAAAGAGGGGCCAGGTCAAAGGAGAACAGGAGTCGGGAGAACAATATGGGAATAGAGGAAGGGATTGAAACCATGGAAGAAGAGTCAGTGGGAGATGGGAATAGGAGAGAGACAAGGTGAGAAAGGCATGGAGCAGTGGGCAGGGCAGGGAGAGAAACTGTAGCAATGGTTTTGGAGCTGGCGGTTGGGGCTATGAACGAGGAAGAGGATTGCTAATGGAAGACATCATTGCGGGGTAGAGCCTCCTTACCACCCCTGTGCCCTCACTCATCTAGGTGGGTGGCCTACCAGTACCCAGGTTACCGGGGCTACCAGTACATATTGGAGCACGACCGGCATGGAGGGGAGTTCCGTACCTACAGTGAATATGGCACGCAGGCCCACACCGGGCAATTGCAGTCCATTCGGAGAGTCCAGCAATAAACTCCATGGCCCCAGCACCTCCCATGAGGACCCTCAATAAAGGCTCCTGAACCTGTCTGCCCTTCTTGCCTCTTTCGTGGTTTCTTGTTTTGTGATCTCCCTTCTCATTCTCCTGAGGGTCCTTCTCTGCCAACCTGACCTTCCCTTCAGGCTCCAAGACCTGTGATTATGGAGCATAAACTGGCTTAGGATGTGTATGACTAAACTCTAACAGGGCTGACAAGAAACTGACAAGAACCTTGGGCATCCTGTTAATTACAATCAGTCCCACACTGCTCCTTGGTAAAGGCCTATCAGATGGGGCTAGGGATGCTGCTGGCTCAGATGGCACCTTTGCTCATTCTCTGGTTGGGGTGCGCACAGCCACACAGCAGGGCTCAAAGTTGAATATCAACCTGCACACACCCCCTGGGCCAGGCACCATCATGTAGGCTAGGGCCTCCTTAGCTCGATGCAGGAGATCTGTTGTGTTCCTTTCTAGCCTCTAGGGCATTTCCAGCCTTTATTGTCACCCTGGGTCTCTCTCCATCTTTGGAAAACCTGCATCCCTTTCTGAGCTTTATACAATCTCTGCTTTACCGAAGAGCAAATATGTGAGAGGAGGAATTAGTGGGAGGTTCCTCTATCTCCCAGGGCCTTCTAAGGGGGAAGACTTCCTCTCTCTGAGCAGAACCTCCAGACCCTTTGTCTGAATAATAACAATCCCTTACATGGTTTGGGCTCCAGCAAGTACAAAGCATTCTCATACCCTCATTCTTAGCTATTCCAAACAACCCCCTCTTCATTCGTCCTCTCCCTCCCCATTCTTTAGAGAACTTGAGCTGGAGAGGCTACCTCTTAGCCATGGACCACAGTGAGCCTGGTTCTGTGGCATGTGACAGAAGCGCACAGATATGGTGGGGCTGAGTGAGACAGCAGCCATCAGAGTCCTTGTCACCAATGTAATTTCTTCCCAGTTCCCTCTTTGGCCCAGTTAATGATACCCTCAGTCCCACATAGGCAGGGACTCCAAGGTCCTGGGGACTCCCCTTATCTTGTTTGTGTTTTTAAACCACTAGTGGACCTATTGATGGTAAGGAGTGGCCTAGATCATTGCCCCAGCTCAGGGGAGGCAGGGTAATGTTGGAGGACAGTCAGACTTGGACCTGGAAGTCCCCAGGGGTGCAAAGTCAGGCATCTGCTCCAGGAAAGAGCCCTGGACAAGAAGTGGAACACCTGAGACCCTATCACATAGTACCTCTGAACTTCAATTCCTTCTATTGTGAATTGGGGTTACTGATCCCTGACTTGTCTGTGTCACAGAGATGTTGTGAGGATTCAATGAAAAACTCCTGAAAAGGCTTGTGGTGTTATGGAAAAGTACTGGGCAGTCATCTAGGATGCTCCTTCCTCTGCCTCCCCCCACCCATGGATCCCAGGGTTCAGTTGGGAAACCAAGGGACAGAGCTTTAGGAGGGGTATGAATTCTGCTTTGTACCTAGGTGGGGTCTAGAGTCCACGGCCACTGTTGCAGTTGATCCTGTTAACACATTCCATGCTTCATCTATTTCAATAGTGAAGAAACTGGAGCTCTTTTGAGAGAGAGAAGCCTCAATAAGGTTATCCACTTAATTGGTGACAAAGCCAGGACTTGAACACAGGACTCCTGACCCCAAATCCAGGCTGTTAAGTGGAGGCTGACCTAAGGTGTCAGGAGAGCCCCCAAACCTTTTTGGGCCCCAGAGGAACCTGGGGTTCCTGCCTGGTCACAGGCTCCTAATTTTTTCCTTGGGGTATGGCAATAATAATAGCTAAATGTATAGAGCCTAGTCCGATCACTCAGCATATGTTGTATAAGCCTTAATATTCTATATGATAAATACTGTAAACCTGACTTTACAGATGAAGAGACAGAGATTATGTAACTTCTACAAAAGCCACACAACTACGAAATGGGGGACCCAGAGTTGAATCCAGACAAACTGGCCTCAGAGCCCAGCAGCCCCTCTCCCCACTCCCTGTTTTGGGGGACAGACAGTGGGTGAAGGGAATCTCATCTCCACCACTAAGAGGGTCTATGGCTGCTGGAAAACATCAGCAAGATGGCTTCGGGAACTGACAATGTGACCCTAAACAGGGCCCTCTCCCACCGGTACAACCAGGGATTTGGTGGAGCTAATATTTATAGTAGCCTTTGCAGGCATGAACCTTCTAGATTTTCTCAGATCCAGGGGTCCCACTCTGCTCCCCACACTGGCAACTAAAAGGGAGGGGGGTGCACGGAGGCCCTGCTGGGCCTGAGTGTTTTCACCTTCCCATCTTCTTCCCATGCCAGGCAGGTTGATGGTCTGCAGAGCCCTGTGGGACTTGCCCACTGGCTGCACTCAGCCAAAGACCAAAGGGAACTGGAGGAAGGCGATTTCTTTCTGGTGCAATCAAGACCCAGGTGGTGTTGGGGAACAACTCTTCCTGGAGCTCACATAGGTCTTTAGCACTTGAGTCTTTGGTAAGATACGGGCTCAGAGCCTGAGATGTTGATCCTTCACCAGTTCACAGCTGGGATGTCTGAATAGACCCCCCACTATGAGATCCTCTCCTTTCTGTCTCAGCCTTCCAGTAAGAACATTAAGTGGGTGAACCTTGCTGCCTCCCCACTCTCCCAGCTCTGACCTGCTTCTTGTTTTCTATCTGAGGAAGGCCGGGAAGAGAGAGAGATTGGAACTTGTCATACCCTCGAGGCCCTCCTCTCCTGTAAAGCTCTGAATCTGGTCTCCAAGGGGCATCACAACCTCTCATTTTTGCTCCTACCATATTCCATGTCCACATCCTGCCCCTTGAGAATCCTCTAGGGTCCCGGGATTCCCTATTTTCCCTTAGGCTCTGCCTCCCACACTCCTCCATGGCTCCCTCAGACCTTTGCACCCTCCTCCAATAAAGACAAACACTCCAGCAGTTACAACAAATGAGGAAGAATTGAGAGACCTGTAGAATCCACTGAGTGAGACTTTCCAGCCATCCTCAGGCAGGCACTCCTGGACCAGGGGTCCTGCAGTAAACTTGCCAACTCTAATCTATGTGCCCCGGAGTCCCAGGTCTCCTCACTTCCTAGGCTCCAGCAGTAGGAGAGAAAGACCTTGAGATGATCCATTCTGACAGTAGCCGCCAAGTGCTACATGGCTGCAGGTGGGCTCCTGGCCCAGAGCTAGTCTTTAGCTAGCATCCTTCCTTAGCAGCCTTTTCGGAGTCGGGAAACCCCACAGGCACCGAGAGACTCCAGGCCACCTGGGAACTACATCAGCTTTGCTAATACACAATCAGCATCTTTGCCCCCTTTTTGGAGCGGATTTCGGCCTCCACTCCCCCTGGGTTGGGGGCCTTGTACAGTACACAACCCTGTTTCAGTCCCTCTACTCCTATTAGAGCAAGGTGCCAATTTCAGCCTGGCTCAGGGATAACCAGGATGGGAATATTCGCCGAAGAAATGGAAGGGGGGTCATGAGCTTACTGTATACCACAGATTAGTGGGAACAGAAGAACGAGAAAAGGAGGCGAAGTAAAGTGATAGGACAGAGGGAGAGAGGAGGCAGGAGGGAAGATGGGAGTAGGAGAGATTTAGAAAGCGGGACAAAGGACAACCCCCTAGAAGTTGTGGCGGAGACGCCCCAGCACTGCTCCAGAGGGCCGGGAGCCCTAGAAAGGCTTGAAGTGGGTGAAAGCAAGAGGCAGACAGGGAAGGAAATCGGGTCTCCAGGGAAGAGCAGAGAATGGGAGAGGAGGAGGAGGAGGGAGAGGGCTCCGGGGAGAGGGGGGCGGAGATGAAGGGAGCAACGGCTGCCCGGCCCGGGAGCGCAGCGACAGGCGAGAGGGAGGGAAGCGGAAATTTAAAAGTGAAGATGCAGATAACGCAGCCTGGAGACGGGAACCCGGGTGGGGGTGGGGGAAAGAAGGGGGAGGAAAGTGGAGCGGTGAGGGGGGCGAGAATGGGCGGGAAGAAGGGGCTGTGGCCCCGGGGGTCGGAGGTGGGGCCGGGTTCTCCGCCCCAACGATGTTTGCTGAGAGTCAGGGAGGCGGAAAAGAAACGCGCTCCCGACCCCTATCACAGCGCGAGGCCCAAGCCCATCCCCCGCTCGTCTCC